GAGCCCCAGCCAATTATAACTCCAATATACTACAGTAGTTTCCATCTTCTTTTCCATTATCCCTATATAAACCCAATATACTACAGTAGTAACCTTGCGGTCCAGGGTTTCTGGTTTGGGGGCTTGGCGAGGTCTCCATCTTGAAAGCATAAAAGGATCACCCTTGTTTACGTTACAGCTTTCATTCTGCAAATACCCGTGCTGCATCAGCTGGGCTCATCAAGTAGAGGATCCGAGTTCTGAGCCTCGCCACTGCTCCCCAAAACAAGCCCGCACACCAATCCCCCAATCCTGATCACCAACCCTAAACAATCCTCCAAGAAGCTTTAATACTTGCACTTTTCTTCCTAAACCCTAAGTAAATGCCATTACCACCAGGAATGCTGGGGCCCGACCGCATGGTTCAAGTACCAGCTGCTGTGAGCCGAAGTTGCTGAATTTGATGGAGCTAGGGTGAGGGGTTAGTCTGAGGGTCTGAGGACGTAGTGGTTTAGGCTTCTCGGGTAATATAGAGGGTAATATATTAATATTGGGGTTCTATGGGGTTATATCGGGATAAAGGGTTTTGGCTTCTTGGAGGATTGTTTGGGGTTAGGGGTCGAAGGACTTAGTGGTTGTTACAGGGATCACAGAGACTCCTGATGCTGTGCAGGAGGCGAAGTAACCCTTGACCCTATTGCAGGGGGGTAGAGGTGGGCTTTCCGTGCAGGCCGGCCCTGGAGCTCAGCGTAGCTCACGAGCCCTTGTGTCATGTGATCTTAGGCTTTACTTTATTCCTATGGACTTGGCGAGGACGACAACTCCTGTCCTACCCCAAATCCTACCCCTACCACACCCGAGGGATAGTGGTATACAGTAGATACTTGGAAGGTGGCGTTGGCGGCGCTTATGCAGTTGTGTTCAAAGTCAGTCTTAATTTGTCAGTGATTTGCGGATTGGCTCGCCAGATTTGGGTTCTAGGGTGCAGGGCTTGGGTTTAAGGATGGCATAGGCATTGTCATCGCCATTGAAACTCGCACGTTGCCAGCTATACTTTGAGTTCGTAGACATCAGCGAGTCTTCAAGGTTATACACGAGACTTCGAAACAGGCATGCAAAGTGATGTGTGTTTCGTATTTACACTTACACATTTTCCAGATTTCCAGCCCGAATCCATGTGAAACCGTTGATGCTTGAAGAGGTGGGGCTGAAGTACTGTAGCTGAGCTCCTTCGGCAGAAAGACACCCTGTCTCAGCGGCGCTATTGGGACGACTGATGAGAGTTTGGGTTCATGTGATGTGTTTGCTGAGGGTCTGAATGCAGCAAGTGGCATTTCTGATGTATGCCTTGAAGAGCTTTTTATTTTGGGGCTCACAGCCCAATTGTGATGATCGCTCCTTTAGCACCGCTTGCGATCCAACCTTCCTGTCGCATCCGCGTAGATCAGATGTGTTCATGGGATCCCACATGCACGCTTCACATTGACCTAGCTTCGTGCAAAAGCATACGAGTCAAGCTCATTAGCGTCTTCCCCAATTCGTTTGCCTTGAGCTCATTATGGTGGTATCAATGCTGGAGCAGGTAAAACCAACAATTATACAAGGGCTCAAGGAAATCAGGCCGTCCATGCCATCACAACTGTTGTTGGCGCTCAGGTTGTTTCTGCCTTTTTCCTTCCGATCCCACTACTTCACCCCAACAGGTCTCATGCTTGACACCATACTTCCTACACCCAGAGAGTATAGCCCCTCAGACGGGCATGTTGGTTCCTATGATGATGCGCGCAGAGTGTGCCAGCATTATGCTGCTGGGAGTGGCTTGGGCTGGAGGTACCTTTGATGTGAAAGCTTATACTTTGATTTCTAGGAGTTGTCTCAGGGCAAATGAATGGGATTGCTGCATGCTATGCTGCAGGTGACAAAACACAAAATGCTGGCTCAATAGTACAGGGGATCCAGTGTAAGGGCTTGGGATTTAGAAGTTTAGGGAATTAGGGCGTTAGGGGTTGTGGCAGAAGCAGGCTTGCACGCATGGTCACAGTCGTTCTGCCTATAGCCACCCTATTCTGACCAGACACCTTGTTATAGCAACTAGCACGCCCTGAATGACTTCAAGCGAATCGGCGTAGGCTTCCAAAAGAGTGCTTGGAGGTCTATGAGCACTTACAAGCGAATGATGGTTGTACTTGTCCAAGTATATGCCCCCTAAGTCCATTGGTTCGGTTCTGATTGGGTCATTACATTCTGCCTGCCAGCTTGCACAGGTTTTGCTCGGAGAAGAATCGTACATGATCCTTACTAGGAACTCCCAAATTCCCTTCAGACTTCGCATATATCCTGTGGGTCACCATGTGCTCCTGGTTTTGAGAAACTCCCACATGGTTCCTCAGAAGCCAAGTTGCTCCCTGGAGCTGTACATAGCCTGGGGGCTCGCAGAACACAAAGCCGGTCTTCTGTGCCCATTAGCTAATTCAAATACAATAGAAGCAGTGGTACTGAGTAATATGCATATTATAGTATATTATAGTATATTATACTATATTATCGATGTTGTTAGTACTGTTAGTTTTATTTGTGTTGGTGCTACAGCGTAAGCCTTGGCTCAACCTAGTGCAGACAGTTCCCAGCCTCTTCCTACCCGTCCAGCGCACCCCAAGTAGGGGTCAGGAGGAGCTCAGTAGGTGAATATTATTTACCCCTCCAACCCACATCATAGCCCCAGTTCTCCCCCGTTTTAACCAAATTACTAAGTTACCTTGGCCCTCCAAGTATGATGTTGCAAGAAGTTTGCCCTAAACTCCTGGCTTCGAAGCATAACGAGCCTTCAAGCCGTAATGTGATCCTTCCAAACCACAGAACGATCCTAACCAACCGTTAGGAGCCCAAATCTCTAGCAGTTCGCGAGCCCTGCTTGATTTCAACTCTGGCTGCCGTCCGAGCGTTGCCAAAGACTATTGATTGGAGAGCTCTGGATTCGGGAACGCCAGGCGCAGTTTACAAAACCACACCACAAGGGACAAAACAGTAAGAATGGTACAAGTAACGAGAATAATGGAGGAATTGGAACAATGCCAAGTAGTCAAACCGTCGGTTCCTTCACTATGCCAACGGCTGAGATGATCTTCAAGTTGTGGTGAAGGAAAAATCCCAACTACAAAGCTGCCCTATAGTCTGTAGCCTTTGCACTCCCAGAATCTGGATTACCCACTGGATGTTATTTCAACTTGCGGTGAAGCTCATACCAGTGGCTGCGACTAGGAATCTTGCTACCGAAGCTACATACACTCCAATAGGCACATGAGCTACTGCCAATCTTGAGGTTGCCAAGGGAGGGTTAAGGGTGGACATGGGGGTCCCTGTGGTATTTTCGTATACGTAGTCCTTAACATATCGCCAAATAGGAAGCCATGTCCATTAATTATGTGGGAAATGATGACTATGGCTCATATGGAGTTACAAGCGAGGAGCAGATGAAAAAGAAAGCGGTGCCATTCCCTTTTGCACGACCATGCTAGAAACCTGGATCGAGGTTGGTCATTGCAGTAGTTAAGCGTTCTGCTGCGTACGGCATGAAACCTCTGACCTCGATACTAATCAATGTCAGCTTGCCCTGTAATTAACCAGTAGATTTGTGCTGCATGCCATCCGTTGTATCCACAGGTGATTTGCTTCAGCAAGCCGATCAAGTGGGCACAAGACTCACACGCCAACGGGCGCTCAATCTAGCCGTCCTTGCGGATACCTGCGAGAGTCCTTAGTCACTACGTATGCACCGTCTGGGGCCCATCCATGGACCTGTGCAAAAGCCTTTACTCTAGGCCCAAAGCTTGCCTTGAAAGCTATGCTCTCCGCTATGCTGTAGTCTTTTGTAGCCAGTCACTCTGAACACGCTTCATCGGAGCATTGGATCTGAGCACAGCAATGCAAAGACCCTTAGCAGTGTGCAGCAAACACGTCCCTTCACGCGCTGAGCCACACAATGCTTTTGATCAGATGGTCGCGCTCCGCCCTAAACGCTGAAAAACCAACCTGTGCAGCGCATGCACTTGACCTGGAACTTAAGACACCTACGCCAATCTGCAGCGCCAGGAAACTGCAATGTGTAGTAGGGTGAGCGATGCAGGTCTTTCTTGAAAAGAGAATGCTGAACAACAGATGTGTTTGAATTGTGTACTCTCGGGTCCAGGCTTCACAAGACGCGTGGAAAAGAGGGAAGTTGTCCACATGCCAGTGTGAAGCTGGTCATGTGACTTTATGGCTTCAAATAAAGACTGAGAGGCACGACAGATCCTCCAACATCATCCCTACCCTGTTCTTAACCAGAACTCTCCTAATGCGAATCCTGGAGACATCGCATGCATCTGCCAACTTCCCCTGTAGGAGTGCCATCCAGGATCTTCCATCCCATGCCATGGGATTTAGGAGTGGAGCCGTGATTCCTGTGGCATTCCCAAAGGATCCAAAGACAGGCATCTACCAGTCATGAGAAATGACCATCAAACAGCTGTAGCTGCAAATCCACCCAGCGCACGGCAAACCTCTCAATCTGAAGTTTTGGACCCTTGGGGAGTCGGCCATTATTCTGAGCCCCAAAACGCAAGCCTTGTGTCGCAGCTGGAGCAGCTCGTAAAAAAGCTGTGCCGGAGGGTTTGCATGCTTCCTGCGGGCTGTAGAGGCTACAGGTGGAGATCTGGACTGTAGCAGTCTTCCAGAGGAGACAATGTGCAGGATATGCGGTTTGTATGCCTCAGATTGAAATATGCTAGCTCTACTGTGTACGAGTGAGCCCTTGCAAATCTTTTCGTCATGGTCATTGGCAATAATCCGGATTGTCCAATCCTGGCCCTAATTGACATGTAGGCTTTGAAGTGGCAGTGAGAATCCCCAGCTTTGAGCAAGAGCAAAATGGGCCTTCAACACTGTCCTCACCCCCACGTGAAACTGAGCCTTAAATCCTGCAACCCCGAAAACTAGACCCCATCCCTCCTCTCCTGACTCCTGCCAGGAAAGAGCAGGTGCTGATGTCGCACACTCAGTCCCTACCAATTATCACACTCCTAGCAAGGATTTTGGATGTCGGGTGCTCCCTGTAGGCAGCCATATTCAGGGTCGGACTTCAGTGGATTGCGGGCTTGCCAAGCTGTTGTGGCCCTTGAATTGCAACACCCAAGCATTCCGAGCGCGTGGACACCCAAAACCTCTGAGAGCCTACGTACCAGCTTCGCACCTGTATCTTCTGAGAAGCATCATCATCTTGGCACATAAAAAGCCCTACACCTCTTGAAGCTCCAAAAGTCCAAGCACCCAAACCTGCGCATGGGCACGCACATCCAGGCATCTAGCTCGACGTCCAAACCCACAAGGCCCTCATCGGGCCCCCTGACCCTCTGAGCATCAAAAAGGTTTGCGGCTCGAACGGGACTCGCTGATGACCCAATCTCCGAAGACGCAAAACAAATTGTTAATAGACAGAATTCCCCAAAGAGGTGCCCTGCGAAACCCATTCGAGAATTTTTGTCCCTGTACCCAATGAAATCCCAAGCCTTCCAAAAAACCTGCAGCACCTCAGATTGTTTGTCTGAAGGTTGGCAGCCACAGCCGCCGTGCACAGCGCACGTGAGGACGGCGGGGAGGCATTGAAGGCACTTGAAGAGGCCCGATATTCAGCTTCCTAGGCTAATCTAAGGGTCTCTATAGGGGGTTGTGTGTACGCAGGGTTGAGGGAAGAAGCATCTGTCAACATCACAGGTGTGCTGACTAGGAATTCCCTGAAGCGAGGCCTGCAATATTTTGGGGTACACCGGGAGGACTTTTAATTTGGGATCGGAAAAGGAGAAGCTTGGCTTTTGGGGCTTGGCTTAGGCTTGTCAAGGTTGATGTGAGTAAAGAGGCCTCTTTGTTGACTGACTTTTCGGAATGTACGGTGAACTCAAAAGGTCTCGTTGGACGATTCAAGGAAGTGTTTAAGCAGGATTCATGGAGCAAAGCCTGAACTGCCAAACCCTGAGCTTGTGGAGCTTGCAGTTTAGGGGGTTAATCGGGGCTGTTGGATCATGGACGGCGGTGCGTGGCAGAGAGGTTTTAGTTTTGGGCTCTAAGCATGCTCTATCCACGCATGTGTGGAAGTAACCCTAGTAACTCAAAGTACCAGCAAGCTTCAACACCAGGTGCTCAGCACTGTCTAGCATCTGGAGTAGATGACACAAGAGTGTTTGAGTGTTTCTCAAGCTCCCCTGCAAGCAAGTGCAATTTTGAAATTCCTGTCACACATATAAGAAAAAATAATTAAGTTGGGAAACCCCACATGCCTTGTTCGGCATTCGAGTCTTGTGTGCAACGCCACACGCCGTCGAGTCTGAGTCCGAGAACTCAGACCCCAAACCCGCCACTACTGCAATTACGATCCTGCAACGATCTGTTTAGCCCCACAACCCTACAGCCTAGCCTCATCTGGGTTATTTTTACTGCTGTTACCCTTAAATCGAATTATCACCTCGCAGCATTTGCTACTACATGCGGATTATGGTGACTTAATATAGGTCCCTTAATAGCAACCTAGTCAAGTCAAGCACACGAGCTTAAACTAATCCCGGTGTAACCCTATCCCAAAATCGCAGCCTGCGTGATGTTTCTACGACCATTTCCGGGCAGGTAGTCCCCATGTGTACCCCAAAATACGTTATCTGTCATTTCTACTAGCAGGACTACAGTAAGGGGACCCCCAATTTATAGAAATCCGCATAGATTCAGTCCAAAGCTTGGCTGAAGCCAGGCCAGAACGCTTTGCCAAGAACTCAACGATCGAAGGCAACCTCTGTGGGAGAGCCATACAGAGGATATGTTGAGGATTTTGAGGCTAGGGGTTTTGGAGTTCAGGGTAGGAAGTCTGAGACTGAGCTTGAGAGGTTCTAGGATGGAAGATTTCGTCCAAAAAAAAATGAGTGCACTGCATGTGCAACTAATACGGCTACTGTGCTCACATAGGATTCCATACTGGGGACTGTTCTGACACAGGCGCAGATTCTGTATAATTGCATGCGATATGAGCCTTTGACCTGCTTGCCTGTATTATGTAGCCAAGCACATGCGTGGCCCCTTGAAGAAATGAGATAAGCTTACTCGAGCCTAACACTGCTCACTTGAGATGTTGTTTTCTCAGGGAGAGGTAGGAGACTGGCATGCCAAGAGGGCCCAAGTTTTGAGAACAGTCCCTGCAACTCGGATGCATGGTTCTTGACATTAGAGGTCTCTATGAAGTCGAAAGCTTCCAAGAGACAACCAATTGTTCGGTAGAAATTCCCGCGTCTCATGATGAAGGCTGGACGGCATGGTCGCGAAGGAAATGGCATTTGCCTTCCTCCAGAGGCATGGTTTGCGGGCTTTCTGGTTTTCCCCAAGTTGTCCTTGTAATTGTTGCGCAGCGCACCACATTCTGGTATCGAAAAGTGGCATCAGACACCTCTAGAGCGACGGGATTTTCTGTAAATCAGAGCACTTCAATCTTGCAGGCATTGGCTTGCTTTCTTGCATGGGATGGCTTTCAGTTTCATTGTATAACAAGCAACCCAAGAGGCGCAACCATGGAAATGTAGAACGGGTGCGTCAAACCAGTTAGTATTGGGATATCTGCCGGGACGCCGGTGCAAAACGAAGAAAGTCGGCCAAACAGAGGTACGGCTGATACTATAGATCCTGCTCGACCCCAGCACCTTTTCATACCTGGAGACTCTTGGCGTCATACTCTATGCTCCACACCCTTCCACCGTGTTTTCAACAGCATCCAATTTCAAACTCTGGGTTCGGCCGCTCGAGCCTCATTCGGTTTGCAGCTTGAACAGCCCAAACCCTAAACCCCCTTCTGAAACATTTTCAGATCAACTTGAGGCCAAAGATCCCAGACCCTACATGACATGCCTAAGCGCCCTCAACCATAAACTGAACTTGGCAAACATTTATTGGACCTTATCTGGAACCAGAGAGCCTGAGGCCCAAGATCCAAAGGACTACTTGAAGGTTGATGGGTACGTCTAAGTGGGCTCCCTAAACTACATTTTACATCTGGCGCGCTATAAACCCTTGAAAAAGGCATTTGCAACTGCCCATGAGCCTTCAAGCAATCCAAAAACACCTTGAAAGCAGCCCAAGCCAGGGGTGCCGTCGCAGAGGCTCAGGAGGCTTGCACCCAGGCACGCTGGGGTAATGTCCGTAGCCTGAAAGACAAGACGTCATATGAAGAGCAGGAGTAGTAGTGGCAGCAGTAGCAGTGACAGCAGTAATCGTGGTCGAGGTTGGAGGAGTATTAGGAGTAAGAGTAGGAGCAGGAGCAAGAGGAGAAAGAGGAGGAGGATTGTTGGTGTGTAGGGCTTTGGCTTAACGATTTCGGGTTTAGATATCAGAGGGTTTCAATGAGTCGTCATTGTCCCTCTGAATATGGAAGTGGACCTCTTGATTGGAGAATACCGTGACCAGCGTTACTTGTGGAGATGTTTACTGCGCGTGGAAATAAGTATACGTAGGCGCACATATGCATTTGCTTATTTCTTTAGCCCTCCCCACGGTGCACTTAAGACAGTTGTTTGTGGTAAGGTTTTGTGGTGGTATTGGCGCTTTGGAAGACTTGTTTGGGGGTGCGCCCTTCCCTTCGGGTGCTGGGGGGCAGGAGCGAGGCTTAGGGCTCAAGGTAAGGTTTCATGTTCTTTTCCATTATTCCCTATATACTCCCTATGTAACCCTATAGAAGCGCTATATAATCCTTATATAATCTTTATATAGCAGTTGAGCCCAATCAACCTTTGCAGCAAGATGTTGGGCTGCGCGGGGGCCATGAGAAGCCCGAAGCCCTGGCGCAAGCGCCCACACCATACTGACCTTGAAGCCCAAAGCCCCGGAATCATCCATGATAGGTCCAAATCATTATCCCTTAACCTTTTGGCCATTGGGGGCATGTAATCCTACTAGAATGGGATGGTCAGCCTTTTTGGGTGTCGGGGAACCCAGAAACTATAGGTAACTGTTGAAGCCATCAAGCCCTGAAAGGGGTCCATGGCATATCAAGTGGCCGGCGATCGACTCGGCGAGGCATCCTGGCTCAACAATATTGGGGTTTAAGAAGGTATAACTCAGGGATAATGGAAATAAAATGGAAACTACTATAATATATTGGGTTATATAGGGCTAATGGAAAATAAAAAGAGAAACTACGGGGATTATGTAGGAGTTATATATAGGGATTATAGGGTTCTTACGTTAAGAGGTTGCTGATGCTTGAAGGGGAGCGGGGAAGCGAAGCACCACCATAGGGCCATATATGGGGATTTCTATGGGGATAATGAAGGAATCTCCTCCCCCATTGCCCCGTAAGCACTGGTAAAGACGTCGCTGGATTCTGATTTCAGAGTGGGCTTGAGGTGTTCGTTCTTCCCGGTGGCGATGCGGATAAAGGGGTCATGAGGAATGTTGGGCTTGCATTATGATGGACAGTTGAATGTCCCGTTGCAACACGAAGGTGACCCCAAAGCTCAGGTAGCAGGATCAGCTGCCAGGCACATGGCGGATCATTAATCTTGAGACCTTATACCATCCTCACATCGTCCGCATGAAGCTCCCTGTTTGTCCCCATGTAGTCCCTTGTGTCTCTGCCACATAGGAATCCCAGATTCTGAGATCTTTTCAAACCATTGAGGCCTCAGTTCTCAGCTGCTTGGTCCAAGTGAAGAGCCTTGGCTGCAGTCGTCCTATGGTATTGGATTCAAGGCCTTGCTCCACTATCGTTGGCTTCAGAAGGCGCAGACACAGGAAGATCAGGCTAGGTTGGGTGGTCCCCTCATCCCCTGCAAGTGGGAATATATAGGGACCCATAGGCACCCAAAAAGTATGTCCATCATGCTTTGGAAGGATCGCGTGCAACATAGGATTTTGGGGATTTGGTTTCCGGGCTCCGGACTGAGAATCCACAGCATCAGTCTTTGGATTCGGTCCATGAACACTAGGAGTCCTGACGTGGAAGAGATGAATGTGGGTAACCCAGATCATATCCCATAGTCACCTCTGTTTCTTAGTAGATAGGTATTACCTAGCTTCAAAGAGCCTTCTTGTGGGTTGAAAGACTGGCCAGCAGAGGATCTGTTGTCCGGACATTCCCTGAGGCTTCTCAACGCTACTAATGTAGCTTGGCATGAACGAGGGGCTACGATTGACAGCAGATTGAAAATCCTGGCGCAAAGACGTGCTTATCAGCCCTTTTTGCGAGCATTCACGCTCAAGCCTCCCGGAAGCCACTGCAAAGGCGAGCAAGAGGATCCCTTGATAATGGGTCTCCAACCAGGGACCCCACTGAAAAGTTTTTTTGCTCCAAGGATTAAGAAGGAAGACTTCCAGGGAGCGGCGCAGGCGTCCATGGAGGGAAATGAACTTAAAGGGATCTATCTCCTGGGGTTGCACGTTTAGGGCTTGGAGGGTACACCTTTGGGGGCTTAAGGCTCACAGTTCAAGGTGTGTGCGATTTGGGGACCCTAGGGTTCTGGCTTCCGTTCCTGGCTTGAAGATTAGGGCTTTGCGCATTTGCAGGTCAAGAGTTTACGTACGCATGTCAGCCATGCCAGCTTTACAGGCTTGCAGGGCTGTACACAGGTTTTATAAGGCTTTCATAACTCTGGTAGGTGCTTATGCAACTGACGCAGGAACACTCCGTTCTTCGCTACACGTTGGGGCCGCGGTCACGAACCAGCTTCTACTACTGTGTTTCTGAATCTAGCCTTGAACCCTATACTATATTTCTGTCAAGGAAGGTAAGTTAAGCTACCATAAGAAGCAACAGTATAATTGATTGTATATTCATATTGTGGCCAAGTCATTTAATTCCTTAACAGCAGCCCAGTAAACTTCAGGGGGATCCTGTTTCCAGAAACTTATGGACCTGGACCAGGCCCAGAGTTGACATCCTGGAAAATGCTGTTCCCCACTTCAGTGTATTTACCCTTCCCGAATAGCATGGAACTGCACAGGGCGTTACACGGACAGTGCTTGTCTCACACTGACAGGCAGCCAATGAGCAGAAGGCTGTCTACCAGCAGCTGGGAGATCGTCACAAGGAGGTCGGGGTACCTGGAGAAGGTCATAGGTAGATGGAATCCGAAGTCACAATGTGCGTTCCTATTCTGTATATTTGGCGACCACTGTAGAGTGTCCGGCTGGACAGTGGCTTAGGTTGCTGCTTACTCGTGAAGTGCTTGACAAGTACTCTGGGTGTGCATTAAGGTTCGGTGATGAGATTTTGATTGGGAACGTGTGCCGGAGTGATGGAGGATTTCGCATGGGTTGGTATTGCTGTTTGATATGCTGTACAGGGGCAGGTTCGTGGTCGAGGGCGCGAGCTAGTCCTGTCGTACCCCAGTTACGAGTATGACAATTGATACGAAAAAGGGCCCATTATTTGCATTTAGGCTCATATGGGGGATCATGTAAGTTGGGGACGTATGGTGCGTTGAAAGGCTTACCGTTTAGCTCGGAGGCTTCCCAGATTATGGCGTATTTGGGGTCCGAGCTGTAGCGACGCAAAAATTCAGGGGAAAATTGGCTTTCGAGGCACAACTGTTCAGGATAAGGTCTGGGACACGATCCCTGGGTACTCACTCTGCTGACAGCGACAGTATCAGCTCAGAATGTTCTACTTTTGCGTTCTTTTCACCAGTAGTAGGTGGGCTTCACATTTGAGTCGGAGCCAATTGCTGCTTTCTGTTTTTTGTCCATGGGCCAAAGCTTGCACGACTTGCACGTGCTTGCTCTCAGCCTCATGATCAAGCCGGCTGCAAGGGCTGCCATGACACCACAGACCTTTGATTGCAAAAAAATCCTTGGCCCCTAAACTTCAACCCGACAGTTGGTGGTCCCTGTAAAGACTTGGACGATCGAAACACAAGTAAAATACACGCAAAGTCCTTGAAATCTTTTCGCTCCCCTTAAGATTTCAACACCTCTCGGTTGACTTCGCGCAAGGCATCCTGCTTGCTGGTCGCCGCTGGCTTCGGACTCAGACCTCCCCCTGTCGGGGCTCGAGATTCCCAAAACCAGTCCGTCTACTAAGCCCGCGATCCCAGCACGTAACTGACCTAACCTAAGGCCACTTCACTACACCCTGAGCTGTTAGCCTCGAAGTACCTGCGCCTCAAGCCTACTCTTTCAGTGCCTGACACCTTCCTGACGCAAAGTGGAGGCTGCCTTTGCAATGACAACAACTTGGATTCGGCCATGGGCATGGCCGGGATGCCTGGCTGTGCTGTACATTAGAAAAAACCGACAGACACTGCGCATCTTATTCCTTGGAATCACTGGTGTTCTAGTGCTCACGGTGATGCTGGATTGGATTCTTGGTAGCCGCTGTATGGCTGAGGGTTCGCTTACCGGCTTGGGGTGCGAAGTATGTAGCTTGGGGGTTCAGGGGCTGAGGTTCAAGCTTGGTCGTTCCTTCTGGCTCGGCCTAGATATACCTCAACCTCTTGTACCTCGGCGTTGAAAAACCCATCCATGCTTACTGAACCGCAAGCCTTTTCCCTGTTGTAGAGTACCTGAGAGCATTCTACACATGCTTGTATGCAATCCCTCTTGCGCTTAGAGTGCGCTGTAGACAGTCCCTCCCACAGCACAGACTCACATGGTGCTTCTAAACCTTTAGTAGGCTTAGCTATCGCGGAGAAGGTGAGGAAGAGGAGGAGAGTACACCTAATGACAGATGGGGTGTGCCTCGATCTAGTTCGTAAACACTGATGTTCTTACCCATGTGGCACCTCTCGCTCTGGGACCCCTACCGGAATCCGAATGCCTAACACTGCATTCTTCCGCAGGCAGATGAGGCATTGGAGATCTGCATAGATGCTGAGGATCCAATCGGCGAGGTGCTTCCCCATGCGGGATGCCTTGATTGAGGGCTTAATGTCCACTGCTTCGCGATCGGGATGACCCCAGGAAAGGGGTTTGAATTTCACCTCTTGGGCAAAACCTGGTGAAGGCCTGAAACCACATGAGTATGGGATGGAATTCCAATCCTTATGAGCCTTCCAACATGTGCAGCTGCTGGGAATTGCGGCCCGAAGCGGAAAAAGGGGTTTAGGCTTTGGGGAACATGCTCCGGCAACATGATAGAGCGTTCCGAAGGATGGGATGTCCTGCTAACGTTCTTCAGTTTTTTCGATTTCGGGCCGGACTAAATAGCTTCCATGATCGATGGTAAGCGGCTTGAAGAAAGGAGTCATTCGTGTGGGAGGGGACGATGTGAAGAGTCGTGCAGGGATTCTCACCCTAGGCTCCAGAAACCCAAGAGAAGGCAAGTTGTCTCACACCTGGATACACAATGGGAGCCGAAGCTTCAGTTGTACAAAGCCCATCAGAGGCGATCATCGCAAGGTTTTACGACCTAGCTCATCACGTGGAGACCATAAATAGAATCCTGTGGCCAATGCTCAAGGACTTTCATTCGCACCCATCTGTAGCAGGCCACATTTGGGCGCAAACTTCGATGAAAGTGGTCCCGCCTGTGGCTCTCCTCCAAACAGGGCAAAGATCCTTAGTCCTAAGCGAGTGCCTTACATGTTCAATTGTGGGAGTTTATCTCCAGATCTCTAGATGACTCCTACATAGAGGCAGAGAGCGAGAGAGGAAACACATCCTAAAGCCTATAGGAGAAGAAATACATCCTAAACTCTAGACCCTACCGTTCAGCCAAGAGGCCGTCAGCTAGTTCTGATTAAAGTTTCAGCGATGTAGCCACAACCACCCCCGAACCCCAAACCCTAAACCCTAAATCAGGATGGTGGAGAAAAGGTTTTGAGAAAAAAGAACTTAAATCAAAAGGCCCTGAACCTTTAACACTAAACACCTGAAACCCTTGCAACATACTGGGCGCTAGGCCCAAGCCATGATGGCTCTTGCAGAGATCTACAGCCAGCGTGACGAGCTACTCAGCAAAGGTTTAAGGTTGCAAGGGCTCAGGCTGTTGAATTCGTGTTTTTGTATTACTGTATGGTATATTGTGTCTGTAGGGATAATGGAAAAGAAAATGGAAACTACAATTTAGTACATTGGGGTTGTATTTGGGAGTTTGCGGTTTGTGAAATCATGTTGCTGCTCTCTCTGTTGGAGGGTGAGAGGGCTGCCTTGAAGTTTGTCAGATGCAACAATGCATTTAATGTTGTCTTGAGTCCAGTTCTGAGGACCTCCCTAAGATTTTCTGGTACCTGGGTGCCGGAGTACGGTTTTGAGAGGCAGGTGGTAAGGGCATCGAGCCCCTCCGGGCTTCTCCACATTGCCTTTGTACCACCCAGAACAGCCTCCATATTCCGCATACAATCCCTCTATCGGGCTTGCGCAGTCTTGTTGGCATTTTTGTATGGAGAAAAGTATACGTGAGGGGTGGTGGCTGGAACATACACCAGGTATAAGCCCAAAGCTCTCCCTGCAGTTTCCTTAGATCATGGACGCTAGAGGGCGGCACCCTGCAGGCTGTGCAAACCTTGGGCCCTCAATGAAGATCTAGAATGGAGACTGCTCGTATACGAGGTTTATGGGCCGATAGTACGGTAGAAGCCCGAAACTGTACCCCTATACTCTTTAAATTATTTGGGCCGCTGCCTTAAGCTGATTGTCAGTCCTCGCCTTGCCCAGTTTGGACATGGCGGTCAACAAGGCCAAGGAGATGCGACAACGTGCCAAGGACATTGGTCATAGGCGCCCGGGGTGTTCGGGAGGTGCCAGGAATGTGTGGGGGTGTAGGGGGTAGATACTTACATGTGGGGTGTACTGTAATGATTTAGGGGCCATCCAGAAGTACGTGACAAGCGGTGGAGGTCATCGTAGTAGGGGCTCTGCCCACGGAGGCCAACATTCTTGAGCAAAGGAGCATAGTACACATTACATTGCAGCCAAGGCTATCCAACATCCCTGATACCATGTTTAAAACATGTCCCCTAGTCAAGACCTAAAGGAGGCATCTTAGGGACAGGATGTGGGGACCAGGGTTCATTAGGCTTCAAGGCTGGGAATGATCTAGGCAGAGAGCACTTTCAAACTGTATCGCCTACAGGTAGGGGGTCGAGGCTTATGACGTGGATTAAAGATTAGTATGGGGTAGTCTGGGCATTGTTTACGTTCATGGTGTTCATGTGGTGTTCGGCTCGTGCTATATGTGGTAATTACGAGGTTATTTCAAACATATTATAGAAGCCCATGAGCCAATATAGTTATGCAGGAGCATGACATAAGCCTATGACACATTGGAGCCAGGTTTCCGCATTCGAGATGCCGACTCCCAGATAGGATCACGTTTCGACACGTGCTTTCTCGATAGTGTGCATGAACATCCTCAACTGCCACTGCTCACTTAAGCACGTGGGCCAATTGAAGCACCCCAGACACGAAAATTGCGAAACCTCACGCTCCCCAAACCCCAAGCCCTAGAAGACGCTGATCATAGCCCGAGTCCCAAAAGATTCTTTCTGTTCAGCCCCTTGTCGACTGCAAATCGAGATAGATTTGTCACGTACAAGTGCCGTACAGCGCTGCAGAAACCACCCGGATTTGACCCTACTCTCTCCTTCAAAAATCCATATAGTTCCTAAACTCCGAATCCCAACCAAACGCCTGACCCGAAAACCCGAAACCCCAGGCCTTCAAACTGCAATCCCCAACGCTGATACACAAACCTGACATCCCCTTTAGCCGTTGACCTGAATTCTGAAGCCCCAACAAATCCTCAACACATTGAATCATCAGAGACTGTAACAGGCTTCTGGAGGCCCAGGCGTGCAAGGCAAGCCAGCGCAGTTTTTAGGTTTGGGGTGTCAGGCTTCGCAGAGTAGAACGCTGTTTTCACGGACTAGCGTGCAGGGTTTCCAGATTTGGGCTTCGTAGTAGTAATCCCTATAAACTGTACAGATCCTAGCAGCGAGGGAGAACCCGTACATGATAACGTTGTAGACCGCAACACGTAGAGATCTCCACTCCTAAGCTCCTTCAGGCAGCCTATATGTCTGGTAATAAAATACCGAAGCTACTAATAACCTACTGACTTCAGATTCAATCTTACCTGTGAAGCCCACAGTATCCCCAACCTGGATGGCATTGATCCAAACCATTGCTTTACTGCATGGGGTTAAACGATGACACTACAGCTATGTCAGGATGATGGGGGAATGCTACTCTGGCTTCTACATGAATCGTTCAACTCAGTCTCCTGAGTCCCCAGATTGGCTGCTAAAGTTGCTAAAGCTGAACCCACACAGGTAGCAGTAACATTGCAAGACTCCTCACAAGTCTTCATCTTGGCGTTGAGCATTTTGTCCCACTCCACTTTGCAGCTGAAGCCCTCAACACTAAACCACACCCTCATGACAGCATTTAGAACTTTGAGCATCCCCACCGCGCCGTAATGCTGGGTTGGGGACTGCAGGAACGTTCAGAGCTTGGGCTAGGTAGCGGTGTTCTGGGGTTGGGCACTCCAGGAAAACCCTGGGGGCTTGGGCAAGGGGCATGCCAGAGCTGCGCACTCCAGAGACATTTCCTGGTTAGGCACTGTAACTGACTTTAGCAACCATCTGGTGTGGAGCAAGGAAGCAACATGGTGGGGTGGGTAAACGGACAGTGAGGACAGGTTTTCTTAATACCCTTCACCTTGAGCTAAGCAGATCCCTCTGATCACAAGGCGTTGGCCAACGCGTATCAGAACGCGGAGCCGGCCCGCTACGTTCAGGCAGTTAGGGCAGCAAACGAGGCGCGGAGATCAGTGTTCAGCTTGCAGAGTTGAATGTTGATGGAATTGGTACTGGGATGAGCCTAAGCGAGATAGGAAGATTTTCTGCTTGTACGGCATCAGGCTTTTGCTCTACCAGCACGCATCAAAAAGGTCTGGGCTTTGCAACGGCACCAGGAATGAAAGTGGTCGTGTCAGGCATGAGCTCAACAATCATGCGGCTGAATAGCGGGCCTCAGCCTACCATGTAGGGCGCCTATCAGTGATGATGATGGCTAAGGTCCAGGAAAAGAAAGGAAAAAACCAGAACCTAGCCTCTTGTAGGCCAAATCCAGAATCTCTGCAGAAGTCTGCCAGGAATTTAGATGCAAAACTTCTTGCGCAGTCTTCACGCCTAAGGGCACGTGATTGTTGACGAAATGGCTCTGGCCTCATCAAAGCATTTTTTGGTTATCAAGGTTCACAGCCGTCATTGATAACAATCAGTAGCTTAGTATGCACCTGGCGCACACATAAGCAGGGTTGTAGGATCACCTAACTGCTTTGCGGCGCTTGCGGCGCATAATTGGGGATTCCGATTGGAGGCTGCAAGATGCCAAGCTTTGCCAAGCCATGCTGCCTTGCAAAGCTATCGTGTATTTTTTTCGGTTGTACAAGACTCGCAGCTAGCGACGGTCAACGCCGCAAAACCTTATCAGTCCAATGATAGTCCTGCTTATCTCTACTGCAGATCCCACCTAAAACTCAAAGCGACCCTCAGCCCTAAACCCATGAGCCTTGGTCCTCAACTTCAGTCCTAAAACGTAAACGAAATATTCCAACTCCATGGCAAGGCTGTCATCCTTGGCAAGCAGGCTTCCTACAAGCCAATGATTGTAGAGATGATGCCTGAAGCTCAAGTTGTTAGGGTCTATACATGGACTTCAAATATCTGAGCCTGGGTTTGTCGGGGTCCTGGGTTTTTTTGGCAGGACGAAGGAGAGATTATATGACATGAGTTTAGCAGTTCCTCAACATCGACTCCCGTTTAATTTTGATCCCTTCCCCCGACCTTGCAGTGCCAGCGAAAGAGGACCTGTCGTTGTTGTCGTTGTTGTAAATGATTATGTGAGGAGCCATCTCTCCTTCAGAAGGTTGAAACCAAGCCTAAGGCTGTGAGTAATCCCTAGATCCCAAAACAAACCTCCCGTATTGTTATATGCCAGGTTTTACAATTCAGGGGGAGGGGCCTTCCGGACATCAGGCAAATAGGGCTTTGTTCTTGTGACAGCAGACCAGCGTTTCAGGTTGAAGGAGGTCAGGGTTTGGAGGGGTTAGCCTCGAGTTAGCGCTCGAGGCTAGTACTTATCTAAATGGAGCTGTGCATGGCCACCTTGCTTCAGGAACAACTCGGTTGCTTTAATTAACCTTGATTCCTGGCAGTTCAGCTGATGGCCACCCAAAGCCATTCCAGGAGCAGAAACAATGGAGACGCGCGACACGCGCGACTGCACGGGATTCTGTGCAAAGTGAAGCAACAAAGCCGGGCGTCATCACGTCTTACTCAAGGGCAAAGCTACTGGAGGTCTATAGCTTGAAGGCTTCAGTGGCTGTTGTTGTGATTTAAAGCTTTTGTTTCTCAACTCAGTCACTCAAAGCCCTTCAAGAGGCTTCGCTTCTGCCCTATTGGAGGACACCTAGATTCGGGAACTTGTCTTTCAGCCTCTCCCGGGCATATAGCGGTACTAGCGGGGCTTTGTTCAAAGTAGACGGTGCTGCTTCTAAACTGTATACAACCCTTAATCCTACACCGGGTACTCTTGTCTAGTATTAGAGGCCCAAACTAGCTAAAACCTTTGAGTGCTGAAGCCCTGAATCCAAAAGCTGGCACCTCAACTTCAAGCCCAGGGAGTTTAGGGTCTAGGGTTTTTAGGGTCTAGAAATTTACCCTTTTTGTAGAGTTTGGTGATTCAGAGTTTGGGGCTTACGTGCTTGGAGTTTCGGCTTTAGGTGAAGCCATACCCTTTCCCAAACTAAGATGGAGCCTGTCAAGCCAGGCTAGAGGCCTGGAGCCAGACGCCATTGATCCTAAGAACAAAGGCAACATGGTAATATTAGGGTTATATTGGCATAAGGGAGAATCAAATGGAAACCACTATCTAGGGTTAAGCATTTAAGGTGTAGGGTTTACACTCCCGGAAACTAACATGGAAACCCAAAAAGGGCCCTATAAAGACCTTCTAAAAGAGGGCTATATGGGTTTCCATGTTAGTTTGGGGGAGTGTAGTTTTTGGGTTTGCCATCCCCACCATCCCTGCACCCAAGCCACATCTAGTGACCAAGGCTTTTAGCCGTGAAGGTGAACACAGCCTTGGTTATGCAGGATGGGGCCCAGGCAAGACTTGAGTAGTATTTTGGAGGGGGGATACTATGGTACCCAACATAGAGAAAGATTATATCCTCCTTTTGGGTATAGTATGTTATGTAAGGAATATGATGGGGCCCAGGCAAGAATTGGCTTGCTCTTTGCAAGTAGAATAATTAGGGTTTGGGGTTCAGGATTTAGGGACTTTTGAGTTTTGAGTCCGGGGCCTAAATGATTAGAATACTGGAGCAGTGCAAGTCCTTGCTTCACTGCTGTTGTTGCGGAGGGCTTCGGTTTAAAGTTTACGAAGAAAAGTTCAGCGAAGCGTTTCAGGATTTTGGGCTCTTGAGGGAGTTCAGGGAGCAGGGTGTGGTTCCTGCAGAGGATGAGTGAGATGCTTCAAGCTTAGTCTAGCCTCACTTTTAGATTGCTTGGGAACTTGTAACCCATTGTACTTATATCGGGATAATGGAAAGAAAAAGGAAATTGCTATAAAGTATTATATAACCCTCTGGAATATTGGGCATTCTCAGAATCCTTGAGCTTAGATACTGTCGGGAATGGTGAATGTTGGGGTTTGGCACGGTTGAGATGGATCGCTGCCGCGAGGATAAATTTCGCACCTCGTGCACCACAGACACTCATGCGTCACTCATGAAAGAGATTTTCACTGCTGTAAAACTAGAATTGTTCATGATTAGTATACCGAGAAGTAACCCATCAGTGTGCGGGACTGGTGTTGAGGGTTCCAGGTTGAGGTTGCCAAAATCCTCTTGATCGTCAAGAACTAGGCTTGGGCTGCTCACACGGTTGGATTCTCACATTGATGGGTGTATGCCGACGAATGGACTTCAGGCAAATAATACCAGACGATCCTGCAGCGGCACCGCTGGATGGCTTTAGCTTGCGCGCGCGCAATGCTGACTTACAACATCCAAATTGTAGTTTCCAGAAAGCGGGCGGGCCCTAACATGGACCCACAATATATTATGAGTCCTATTCTAGGGACTTCAAGTAAGGGGCCCCCGGATCACGCATCTAAGGCGTACTTCTCTACCCCAAAACGTGTCACACACCGAATGGTCTAATCTGTAAGGTCTCAACCATGGGCCTCTAATATGGGGCCCTGCCTGCTTCCTGTGTCCTGGGTCCTGGGTTTGGGCCTTGGTTTTGAGGGCCAGGAGCAGATAGAACAAACAGCGAATAGCTTCCACTGCACTCGGCCACAGTTCCGTAACATCTCCACGACGCCAACGTCGTTACTGAGGCTTTCATATTGCAGGATTTGGTTTTGACAGATGTTTCCATCGCCTCCACCACGATGAGGGCATCAATGAAGACAAGGAGGACAGACCTGCTTGCTTGTAGAGTTCAAAATGATCCCTAGCTCGTGTCCCTTATGTTCCGGGAATTAGTCGTCAAATTCTGCAAGCTTCCGAATACATTGTGACATGTGGATGCCTTGTTTTGCTGGCTAGCTCGCACACATGCTCGCACCAAGATTATCCAGAGCAACAGAGGCTGCATGTTGTTTTGTTGACCGCTCTGGCTCATGAAAGTTCGAGGGTGTAAGTTCCTGCTTGACTGATCTTCCCCCACCTGGCACTCCGAAGAATGTCTGTCTCGTCCACAGAGAAGAGAAGGCTTCTCGCATCAGAGGGTCTTGACGGGAAATCGGTTACCATCACCGTGGACACGCCAGAAATCACGCCACCTGAAGAGGCCAGCATTGAAGCGTACAGGCTTGGCGAGAACATCGACAACGCAGTGATCATGATGAACTTTCATGACATTGTATACCACAGAAAGGGTCATCACTCTGAAGTGGGGGTCAGCCAGTACACCTTCAGCCTCTGTTGGCTGGGGCAGGAGGTCTTCTTCCTGGTGCTTTCCACTGTCTTGCGACTTGGTGCAGCTTGCTACTTGTACCAGGCTGCCAACTCCAAAGGCTGTAAGGCATCCAGCGTGGACATCTACCTGGTATTGGGCGGAGTGTTTCTGTGGGCAATGTCAAGGCTTCAATACCTCTTTGACATACTTGAAGAGGTCATCTACTTCGGCAAGATGTATTTAGCAGGAAGCAGATTGGGAAGCACGTCTTCGGTAAGCATGAAGCTGGGTGGCTGCTAAAGAACATAAATTAAGCTGTCATAGTCAGGAAACCATTATTTTTCCTCAGGAATACCCTCAATGGCCAACATCAAGCCATTGGTTCGCCTAATATCCATAGTACTGTAACTTAGTTCAGCTTCCTCGACGGCAACCCAGGAAAGTGGAGCATGAGCCTTTCAACAGTGGCTGGGGCTTCTTCCAAACTATCATGATTCTCGGGTTCAAGTGCTTTGTGGAGGTTTTCGTTGGCTATGCTGGCGGATACTTCATCATTGTGTCAGAACAGATCTCAGATGTCATCTTGAACTGCCTCGCAGCCGAATTCATCAGCGACATTGACGAGAGTATCTACAAGCATTTTTCCAGCCCCTTTGCGAAGAAGCTTGTCCAAAGCGCTCCGAGGATGCCTCCACGAGATGAGCGCGAAATCGGGAGGCTTGTCTCAAGTGGGACGGTCTTCGTGAAATGGGTGGTTTTTGTAGTTGCTCCGATTGGAACCCACGCGGCGTATTACTGGTTACCGTCCTGCCAGAACGCAGACAACTAGCTTATTACTTTTAGATGGTTCCAGGTGGTACAGCAACATTTATCTTGGGCACGGCTTGTTACCTTCACGCTTTGTGGGTGATTTTGTGCAGCTTGTCTTGTCTTGCACAGACAGCTGTCTGTCGCCTGTCCGGCTGACTAGCATGCCGGACTACTGCGTCTTTCCTGCACGCGGCACGATACCAAGTGTGGTCTCACTCAACCGCCAAACAAGGAGGGCATAGGCTTGGCCACCTTGGTGGCGTGTGGCTCTTGACACGTCCGAAAGCGACTGCATGCTCCGTTTCAAGCATTTTTGGAGGCATACCGCCTTGCTAGGTTTCAAAAACGCCACCTGTGCAAACACTTGCGACCGTTTTAAAGCAACTTTCGCAGCCTCCGAGAAGAAGAGGCGTTCATGCGTGCGCAGGAACTTCGGGCAATCAGTTACCTGCAAACCCCTGAAGCATGTACAGACAACGCCTGCTAAAGTGCGACTAGCATTTCAAGAAGTTGAGTGGCAAGCATTTCCAGTTCGTTGATTTACTGCTCGGTGCCTCTCAGCTATCCACACCTCAAGATTTTAGCAGCTCAACCCCGCTTTGCTCCCACTTCGTTGTACGTGAGGATTCCGACATCATTCTCCAGCACGCCCGGCACTGCACTTACTGGCTGCTAGTAGGGAAGGAAGGAATTAATCCCCATACTACCTCGTAGATAGAATTTTAGCTTTGATGTCCTCTTCCTCTCTTTCATTCCCTACTAGCAACCAGCAAGTACCAGCAGATCAAGCTGTACCACTACCAGTGCCTTGGGTGGTTCTTCGATCAGTCTAGTTTCTCGTCTATGCCTAGGTCGCAAATCTGATGGAAGCAAAGCCACACGCACGTACACCCAGCATGGAAATCAAATTGTTAAGAACACAGGGACTTTTCACTACAGCGCCTTTCAGGTTATCCATTCAGACTTGTCTGTACTTGAATATGAAAAACTAGTCTCCTGGATGGCGACCTGAGGATTCTACAGAAATCTCCAATAATTGTTTTGTAATAGCATCCATGCGTCTTCGTTTTGTCGGCATCCCCACGTTCTCCATCCCACACGTAGCCGTCAAAATACTTGTGTAACTATTCCATGTGTTCTTTCATGTTGCTGAATTGCTTTCTTTGCGTTTGCGTAAACTGTGGCTCTCACCTGCGCTTTCTGGCAGACCCCCTGCCTACTCCCCAACCAAGCCCTAACTACAAAATCCGCTCACCTATCAGACTACTCTGCTGAAAAGAACAGTTCAGTTTTTTTGCGGGAATTTTGAACTACCTGTGGTCAGAATTCATAATTTGCGTTATTCCCTGAAACCAAATGGCTCAAGTTTCATATTGCTGTCCTCTGATTGTTGTTCCCTATTTGTTAGCCTGGATGCCTTTCGCTGCGGCATCTGTTTTTCTGCTGTCGCCCATTTGCTTACGTGAGTTTGCACAGAATACAGTTGACTGTGCATTTCTCAACTGTTCCTTATCTTGGACTCTCCGCCTCCAGAACGCCTTAAGAGCGGTAGCCCCAATGGACGAGGAAGGGACTCTCTGCCTGCAGGTGTCTCTGCGCGGGGCCGAGAAGGCGGTGCGGCCAGCCCGTGAGGCCAGAGCTCATGTTCTACAACCCCTTAGTTTCTGAGAACTATATACCATGTAGAAAGACCCCATATCGTCAAGAATCCCGAAATGGTCCCCATATGGTACCTAAATAGCCTGCACATCATTCGATTCGTCACAGACCCTTTACACAAGCCTCCGAAGGCAGTCACGGTTGCGAAAGCCACCATGAAGAAGTCTCTGATCAGCTAGAGACTTAGGGCCTGTCAATTCACAGTTTATGTTGACGAGCGTTTTGCGGTTGACGGAGGGGGTTTATGGATCATTGCAGGCAGAGTGCCTTAGCGCTTGCCACAAACTATCGTGCTTGGGGAAAGCGGTTTCAGCAGTTAGGGGAACATGTTCCGAGTTTAGCATGAAGTTGGGTTCAAGTTTTCGAGGCTTAGGAGCGATGCAGCTGTACCAGCTCGCTAGCGGAGAATTGACACTTGGGTTGAGTGCTTCACGTAGTGGACCAGAATGCGGGTCTTTAGGGGCGCCGGCTTGCCTTGGGCAGTGAGACCTGGAAACAGTGCACGGCCCCTCTTGCAGAGAATGACTCGCCAAAGACAATGTCAGTGCACGTTGCCAAACTTACGCATCCTTGTATCACCGCACAAAAACTTCGGCAAGGGCACAGGTTCCCGAACACACATAGCTGAGCACCATGTGCCTCTTCATTCATGTCTGTGCTTACACCCCCGGGTTTCCGCTTTGCAGCGGGTTTTGCTTTAAGACATGCAGGTTACTTTGAACTACGCATTCGTGAGGGAGTTAGAGAAAGAATTCAGAAGTGCTCATCGCGGCCACTTTCTATGTTTGAGGGGGGGGAGCGGGGAGCGGGGCGCGAGGGGTTGCAATTGTTGCAAGTTGCGTCGTTGTGCCGGGAAGGTTCCGAAAAGGGTAGATGACGAAGCAATAGTTTCTGTTAACATTCAGAAAGAGTGGTACTGGCAAGGAATTGAAGTTTCTGGACTTGGCTTTTCGTAGCTAGACTCTTGGACGAATCGTTAACAAGGAATTGAAATGCAGATGCTGCAGTAGGCTCACGACTTCCTTCTATTGCTTTGGAAGATTTGACAGTATGGCTAGTATTGTATGTTGCCATGCCCGTTTGTCCTGTTCTTGGACGAGTACATGAAGAGTAGATTAGGCCGCAACGATAGTTGCTTACACTCACTAAGCAGAGTAGTCCGGAAATCGATTTCTGGGCTTGGTTAAAAAGGATACAAAACTTAGGGCACATATGCAACCAGGAAGGGGAAAGACACCTCTGCCTAAAGCCCCCTGAGCGTGCAACTTGAGGTCTAAGTCCAGGTTAATTAGCTCGAGCATTCTCATTTCATTTGTGCGTCTTGGAAGTCGTTTCTTTAATTCTAGGTCCTTCCCACAGACAAAAAATTGTGACTTCCCGGGGTTCACAGTTTAGCTTGAACGGCCCAATGTCCTCAATCTGCTAAAGCTTGAGCCCACCCCCAGGGTTCCAACGCCAAGAGAACTCAGCTTTATCATGACAAGAATCCTACACCCTTCTCCCTCTCTCATTCTCACTCTCTTTCCCTCACGGCATGCTCCTCTCTGTTGCATGCTTAGATGCAGGGCCCAGCGGCACATTATATTGTGCCCTTTGGACGGCTGGAGAGTGGTCAGCTTTCTGATGTGGTTTCGGATCTTGCAAAATCAGCTGACGTCCTCCATCTCCACGATTCATGAATTGTGCACGTAGCAAGCCTGTCCCTGACTACCATGGAAGCCCACATGGGCTCCTAAAGAAGTGTAATAGTCTTTGTGCGGCCTGTTTGGGGGGATTCCTGTTTTGCTGATTGTTTGAGGAAGTTGGTTTCTGAGTTATGTAAGCAGTTTCCCCTCCGCAGCAAAACCGCTTCTACTGTTCAGCATCTTAGCATCTCCAACCCAACACCCAACCTACGAAGCTCCAAGAACTCTTTCCTCCGACCCACATGCGAAACTCTCTTGAAAGCAGTAGCGCTGAGGCACATGCCTGTACCAGCTGGCAGAGGCCTGCAACTCGTCTTGCCGGCAATGCGCATGTAGTATACTGGAGTCTGCGTAGGATTCAGAATACAGAAGAAGCACGTCCACCAGCATGGCAGGTACTATGCTACCAGTAGAGTTCATTGAAGTCAGGGGTCAAGGAGGAGATGGAGCAGCAGCAGAGGGAGCAGCTGTAGAACAGCCCTTAGCCTGAAGTCCTAAACCCAGCAACGGCAAGCTGCCGCAAGCTTCCAGGCTTGAGAAGTGCCCGTACATGAACTTGCACTGAGTAGTAAGAAAGGGTTGCATTCTTTTCCTAGTCCAGCTCAGGCCCGTAGAAGTCCCAACACGATGGACTCTCACTGTGTGTGCTCATCAGTTCCGCAGTCTTAGACATGTCACTTTCTAGGGGAAAAACAGAGTCCTTGTGATTTCTTGTGTATGCGCAATCTTGCCGGGGAACTGCAAACGCGAGACCACAGTCTCCCGCAGCTTTTTCATGCGTGTCCGAATCCCATGCAACATTTCAGCTCTTAATCAATCGCGGTTGATGATAGATCTCGCGAACCTTCTGTGCAACTTTGAGAAACCTGGTTCTGCGATGCTCAGCGTTGGCTTTCGAACCTCACGTCAAGTCCACTTGCTGAACGGGCCATGCAGAAACATTTGCTCCGAAGACATTGGAAATACTCCAGCCACGGCTGCCACCAAAGTTTGGGCAGACGGCTGTCCCTTCGCCGATTTGCACGCCGCGCACACACAAAGAGCTCAACAGTTGATAATTTTACTTCGTGACTGACTTCAAGGTCAGAATCCTTCACCACCCCACTGCTCATCAAGATCGCACTGTGGTTTTGGGCCTGCAAGGGCCATGGGTGCATGGTTGGTACTTCGATGAAGATTTAATTAGCGAGCTAGTTTGAACACATACCTTGCTGCCAACTTTGATCACGTCACATTAGCAGAAGTATTATGTAGCCCCACACCAACTACAATCAAACTTTGATCTGGCAGAGGTGCAGCTGATGTCCTATCAGCTTGGCCCGGCTATGTCTTCAGCCAAGGAGGCTGGAGACAGGGGTTGCAACGACCAAATCTTGGGTGCAACTACCTTTGAGAAACTTCTGCCTGAGCTTCACAAGCAACATGAACCTGTAGATTCTGACGTTGAATGCTTCGTGCTCCGAGATGGTTGGACATGTGAAGTCGAGTTCGCTGAGATTTTGCTTTCGGCTGTGTGTATGTTCGGGTGTGAAGACCACGTCCAGGAAGCGTTGAACAATGCAACGGCTGTGCAGAACTGCATATCTCATAGGGCTGTTCAGGCTTGAGGCCGCACAACCGCGGCTCCGGATCTGGAAATCTTAGCCCAAAGCCCTTACCCTAAGCCCTAAACTGCATGCACTTGGAGGCCTGAGCGCTATACTCCCTAGGCCCTAAACCCCATGAACCCTTGGCCCTAAACCCTTAATCACCAGACCAGGCGCTAGAGCTCTTCAAGGAGAGAGAAGACAAGGCCGGCGAAGCAGGAGTCGGGACCTCAGAGTCTTCAAAAGAACAGTGAGAGATTCTCTGAAGCGTTTTGGCTGAGGCTACAGGGTAACAAGCTTATGAGCTATGCCTTTGGGGCTGTGGCGTTGGGTAAAGGAACCTGAAAACAGTGAACCAATGACATGCTCTCAATACTCTCATTGCTTTAGAACTTTGATTTGGGCTCTGTGCATCAAATCGAAATGGTTCTAAAAGAATGTTTGAGAAGCACGGGGCAGCCGAAAATCAGACATGCCCACTTCGGGCTGAGACTTTGGGGTTTAAGGCTTTGGGCGTTGTCGCAGGCGTTTGTTTTTGGGCTTGGAGTCTTGACCCTTTGGAGGCACGCACGGGTGACAGTCCAAATTCAAGCCTGCACTGACGAAGAAATTTTTTGTGGACTTCCCAAAAACTGCCACCACCGATAACATATCTGGAGTGTTGTCTAGGCAATCCAGTTCAGAGTCCATCAAGTGCTCAAGGCGACGCCATGCAACGGAGCAAATACTGCAAAATCCTAGACACAATAAACGACATTTGACCGTCCTGGTCCACGTATCCTTTTGAGTTCGAAGCGATATGAAGACTGCAGATGACCCTCCGGCTATTGGTCGGTGCTCGCCGCATCACATGGACCAGCACATGTGGGTTTCTTTGGTTCCTCGCTGTTCCAACTGTGGGATGGGCATACTGTCTGGTGATGCACCGGTTCTTGGGATGGAGATCAGGTACCAGTGCTTCCAGACTAAGATCACCCAGAAGCAGATAGAATCTACAATGAAGAACTGAAAAGTAATGTCATATCCCGCGGATCTTTATTAGTAGAGTCTATCTACAAAACCGATTGCTGAACCCTCACCTAGGGGTCCTGAGTTGAGCCAAGGCTGTGATCTTGATGGCCGAGACGCATTATGCGGGGGGTCGACACGACAAGGCCCACCAATCTGGTTCAAAACCGCTTTGATGAAGATAACTAGCAGGAAAGCCCTCAGAGCCACAAAAGTTGAATGTCTTAGGTCTTAGGCTGCTAGCTGTCAGGTCAGGTAGTTGGGTGGAAGGCTTTGATGCAATCAGACTTCAGACTGCAGGAAGGGTAAGCAAAGGATCCGATCAAGCCTTCAAACTGGCATAAGGCCTGAAGACACGATCACCCCTTATGAAGGCATGCTTATGACTGCTTGTAGCTCCAGCCATCAAATCAAATGCTGCGCTTTCAAGTTGAGGGTCCTACACCCGGCTGACTGGCTCCAGCTTTCAGCTTTGGAATTCAATTGCTGTGAGGACACTTTGCTCAGTTAACGTGCATTAAGTTCTACATAGCAAACACTCGGATGTCCTTGCAAGGGTAACTTAGCTTAATCCAGCAATTGTCTGGGCTTTCGGATGAACACGATAAGGTGTGCCCATGTGGTCGCTGGATACTGTAAATTCAGGTTTCCAGCAATCATGTTGAAATCAATTCTTAGCCGGAAACTTTCGCATGGAAAAGCAAGCTTTTTAAACGGAGAGAACTCCAGAGGTGGCCAACTTCTACATGAAACTTGACATGGTGGTTTCCCAAAATAAAGGGACCCCAATATGGACCCCAAAATATTATACTCCTTAATATGGGGACCCCCAAAAAGGTACCCCTAATTTTGGGAAACCGGTACTGCTGTGCAACAGCGTTATGCCATCCTAATGAACAATACTGGCAGGATAAGATCTTCAAAGACAATTATCGTAAGGGTCCAAGCAGAAGCCTGCACTGCAAGGGAGAAGAGACCAGGTTCACCCCGCCATCCCTACCAAACAATAGAAGACGCGGTTAGTAGTGATGTATAAACACTGCAGCCACTGCTGTGCCATAATCCTCTCCCTATCGCTGCCACGACGCAGGCTTGACAAGCAAGTGCCTTCCGACGTTGCTTCTTGTAGTTACTATCATTGTAGGTGCAACGGGCATCAAAGTCCTGTCACCATTTCATGAACTCTGTACTTCTATTCAATGGGCCCTCTCGGCCTCAATGACTCACCGTACGTTTTTGTTAAGATGTTTGCCATAAACTGCTTAAGACGGACCTCTACGATTTCCTCAGACTCCCAAATATCCGTCGGATCCCTGACAGTACACCTTTTGGAATCCGTACACCTAAGCCCTAATCCCTATATCTGGGATCCCACACAATAGTATGGGATATCATGCCATAGAGGGATTCTGGAGAACTTCAAGAAGCTGGCTAAGTTGCTGTTCAAAAGCTTAAGATATGCTACCACTATGGGGAGGCCATGTCATTTGTTTAACAGCAACCCAGAAAATCAGAAAATGGCAGGCTGAGGAGACTGTCAAGGAGGGCATCGCCCTGGCGTGCCCGGCAAGTCTCAGCCATCTACTTCGGACGCTCCTAGTTTTGGGGGGGGTTGTGGGCTTAGGGTTCACTGTTTATTGGCTGATGGGATGTTTGCTTTAGGCCTCGGTGCTTGCACGTCTTGCATTCTGAGTTTTCTGGCCTTTGTGCTGTTGATTCCGAAGTCTGTGATCCCCCTGAAAGGTCATTCCTAACCCTTTGGTTGCAAAAGGTATACCCGAAACATAGGGGGATGTCTCAACAGATTCCACCCCCTGCCCTTGAGCCCAAAGAAGAGAGACCCCTAAACCCCGGTTCCCTAAAGCCCGAAATTTGGCTGCCGGGGCTGATTCCTGCACTGGTCCTACACCCCTGATGGCGCCTCTGCGGCTAAAGGCTCTAAAGTCCGTACACTTTTTCTGTGAAGCATCATCATGTCAGAAAGTCCCTAATTAGCCCAAACCCTCAACCCAGGACTCAGAGGAGTTCCCACATCCCTGATCAGTTTGCCAGGCAGCTGCCTGTGGAGACCAGCGCAAAGAGACACGTGGCTGCATTTCATGTGTGTCCGTCTTGTTGGGGTGGCCCGCAATTTGAAAACCACCCTTTTCAGGATTGAATGGAGCCCAGAAGGGCCCTTGTCGTGTTATCGCTTAGGACATTTAAGGAATTGATGTGGGGGCGTGCTTCCATGCAATTCGGGGAGAAAGGTTTTCCTCTGTTCGGGGACATAAAGAATGGAAATAATCAATGAAAATATGTGTCACGTAAGACACACGACATTGTGGCATGTAGGCAAATAAGCTTCATGCGAACGGCATCAGCTTTAACTTTACACAACGAATACACAGATTCAGCGCCTTAGTCGTAGGGTTAGGAGTCCTGATGCATAGTTCATGCCTGACAGCTTAAAATTCAGAAGTGGGCGGAAGGATTCCGGATGTACCCTCGCGGCAGAGTTCGGCATGTACATTGCATGCAGCCCATCAAGGACACTAAGCGTGCAGTGTTGCCTAACATGCGGTCTACATGCAGCTAGCAGAAATTCTACATGAAGAGGCTGCTATAGACATTGAAGCCTACAAGCTTGGACGTAGAAATGCCCCAATGCCGTGAAGATCCATGACTCCGATGCCGTACCGCTCGCCACAGGAAACCCAAACCCGAAAAAACATTCCTAAAACCTTGAAGCATGAAAAGGAGCTCTCGCAGCTTCCCTCAACAATCAAACGATATTAGAAGCGAGTCTCCAGTACACGAGATGAGCCCCAAATAAAGGAATAGCTTCCAACGCGCTATAATGCTCATCCCCAACCCTAGCGTATCCAGACATGTTTTCTCCGCCTTCTGGCAAGCAAGGCATCACGCAGGTATGGAGATGTCCTGCAACCAGAGCTCCTAAAATGGACTCCTGATGTCTTGAAGCTTCCCAAATAAAATCCGCCCATGGCAAGGGAGTACGGCAAAGCCCTGGCATCGCAGATTCAGCAGAGCAGCTGGGCCGGTAATTGGTACGGAAAGCAAGATTTTGTGGCCAAAACCTCTTTGAATGTACAGGTGTTGTCTTTGAGTGCACCATCTCAGGATGCGCGTAGGGATGCCTCTGTAGGGTTTGGGGTTGGTGCATGGCTGTTTAGAGGAAGTCCCTTCAGGCGCGTCTTTGGAGGATGTCTGCGGGCATGTTGGGCATTCGGGTTATTCTCAAATCTATGCGCCCTCTCTGGGTATGACCATATACCATGGCACATCGAATTTTTTCAAAGTGCCAAACAGCGAGCCCTCGACTATTTCTGAAACTCCTCTCAACTGTGTCATCAGCGACCTGTGTTCGGTTTCCTGCTGTAGCCTTCCATTCTCTGATTGAGCCGGATGACTATGCTATGCTAGTCGTCCTTTCGCCTTCGTTTTGTGGTCCTGCATCGTTTCCGTTCAAGCTCTTGGTTGGTTTTGTGAGCGAAAAAAAAAACATCAGATATGGAATTGTGTCTATTTTGAAGCACTGGGGCTTCGGTTCTCTCGGCATTCCATGCTTTGGTCAGGTCGGATAATGGGTTATACACTGCAGAATCCCATATATCATATATTCTTAACCCTAAACCCCAAGGCCTACCCTGGGCCTGGGTGCACACCCTAAACTCCAAACCCAAACTTACGGGTTTTTAGTAGTGAATTAGGGAATATAGTCCTTCTGCTAACCGTACATCGTATGTCACCGTATTCCCTACTAAGAACCAGTAAGCAAAGACTGACTGGCCCTGAACCCTTCATCCTCAGCTTTGCCTCTGAGGCAAAGAGGCCCAGGCAGCTGCAAAAGCACCGAAGATGGCTCGAATCCCAGTGTGCTTGATGTTCAGCAATTGGGGGGTGCTGAGGGCTACTGGGATGAAGGAGAAGGGTTTATGCAAGCTTTAGTGCGTATGGCTCATCAAAGAGTGAAGGGCTTGGCCTTTAGAGTTCAGGTCGTAACGCAACTGTGTGGTGGGAGGGGCCTTGGAAACTAAGCATGAAGAACAACTCTGCGTCACGGTGGTAGCTCCACCTGTAACAACTTCATACAACCATGCTAGACAGTTCAATCCTCCAGCATAATTTTCAAGCCCGTGAGACTGTTATGAAATATTCCCCCACCAAAGCACCCAAGTAGAAAGCATGTGGCTCTTCCATGACTGCTATGGGGTTGAGAACCAACACCAGCGCTCAGATGCCTATGGGCATGATGCCGCAGCAGGCAGGGGTTCCTTTTTGGGAGGGTGTTCTTACTCCTTGCAATGAGGATCCTCGTTTACAAAATCGGAGTATGTTCCGAAGGCATGGCCACCTTGCCCACTGTCTGCGATAACAGTAGGGGTTGTGAAACTTCTGTTTCAAGAAGTACTTATCATTGTGATGTCGTGCGTTGACCTATCTTTGGGAATTCAGTGGCCTACCTCGGTGAGAGCCAGCATTTACGGCCTTCCGGATGGTCGGATCTGAAACATGCAAAAATGCAAGAAATCAAAATGGCTTAGAAGGATGTTGCAGGCTAGCTGGCTCAGCGGAGCTGCCGCAGAGCATGTTCTTTGGAGTTAGGCATACAAAGTTGGGCAATAGCAAGAAGCGAGATGTAAGTAGGAACCTCATTCCGGCAACTACCGGCTCTCAGAAAGCAGAGTCCTCAGAGCCTTTGCAGCGCTTCAAAATTGCGTGCCGCTGATTGGTAGTCGGTTGAGCCCACCAGGTGCTGCTCATGAGCTCAGTCAGAGTCATGCACGCCGTTGTTGTGCGAACAGAGCCTCTCCAACAATGAGCTACTGGCTTGACATGACGGCCTCATGCGTCTACACCGCCAGAGCATCCAACAGCATGATGCGCCAGCTGGCACACAGAGCCACACTGTGGATTCCGCAGTTGCATCTTCCGTGTCTCCGACAAGTGGAGACAAGCTGCTCTGCCAAGAACAGATGAAGAGATGCCCTCAAACCTGACCCCATAACATTTACCTGTAGATGCAGTTGACTAGAATTGGTATCAACTTTGCCCTGAGTTTTCCTACCACCGTGAACCCTAATTATAGTGGATCAAGATCGCCAGGTACAACATAAACCCCTACCTAGAATGAGGACTGGCCGTTGACAACCCATTTACGACCAGGTCAAAAACCTAGAGCAGTACGAACAGGAATTGCCTAGCACCCGAGAACGTAACGGAAGTGCGTCCAAGAATCGTACGCGGCAACCGCGCTCCCTAAACCTGAAATCCCTACACCCAGAAACTTCAAAATCCGAATTCCCCAAACCCAGCCCCTAAAACTTCATAAGCCCTGAACCCTAACTCCCTAAACCCTAAGCTTCTAAACCTTAATTCCGTAAACCCCAAACCCTAAACATCGAACCCAGACTTCGAGCCTATCCCGTGGGAGGCCGCCATTGCGGCTGCCCCAGGAGGCGAGGCGGCACCGCAGGCAGCCGTCAGCGTGGAGCAGAAGCAGGCAGCTGCTTTTAGGGTTTAGGGTTTGGGGTGTATCTATGTCAGGGTTTCCAACATGAGGGGTCCTTCTAGTTCCCTGTACTAAGGACTATAGCAGATTTGGCCTCCCTTTTTTGAAAATCCCCGTGGCTAAGCTGGTTTAAAAGGTGGGATAGCTATACTATACTCGAAACCTGGAGCACTGAGAAGCTGCTTACTTGCCTCAAAAGGTAGGCGGTCTTCTCTGTGAGGAGGGGCTTCTAGAGATCAACCCTGACATGGTATAAGTAGTGGTAGTAGAGGTAGGATGGCCACATGATATTTCTACTTCCATTTAATTTTCATCATGGATAAGCCCACACATAGCTACCCTCCAATGCTCTCCTGCCAGCACGGAAGCTTCAAAGTTGCCCCTTGTAGATCGTCATTCTCTTATTGAAGGGCCGCCTTTCGGGCTGCAGGTTTGTTTACGGGAGTGATCTGCAGCCTCAGCCCAACCATTCCGCTCAAGTAACGTAGAGGTTTGATTAGGGTGCTGGTTTAAGTCCAGGGTTGCATGAAGCCTTCGCCTTCGAAGCCTCAATCTAAGGCTCGTCAAGCTTTAGCTTCTCATTTTCCAAGAACTTGAGAAGCGGCCATTGATTGCCAACCATGTTCACACCCCTCCAGAGGCTGATGTAGGAAGAACCTTAACGGTTTTGCCTACTTTCCCTACTCTGGATGGTACCAGAAGGTGGACCACTGTCCTTGAACCCTTTTGCCGATGTACCTTGTTGCTTACACGTTGCTTGCAGGTGGGACTAGATGCTGCCATGGTGCAGGCCACAGTTCAGGTGCGCAGGGAATCCGAAAGTTGGATCCAAAGTCGTTACCCCAGAGTTTGTGGTTTTGAGGCCTCAACATCTTACTGACAGCATGATGATCTGCATCCGGCTGCTGTCTGTCATGTTCAGAATTTCAGTATGGCAGCTGGGTTTTCGGCATGGTCACTTGACAGAGCAAACGCTTGCAGGGTGTTACTCGATTCCACATAGGAGCGAATACAGGGATCCCGATCATGTTGCAGGCAGGATGACTGAGGGTCCTGCCTCTCAAATCAAATTCGGAGCTCCGAGCCGTTTTTTCTCGCTACTCTGTCTGACATTCAGTCTGAGCTTGCTGTCCACAGAACGCCTGCTCACGACAAGGAGTAAGCATCAGAGCCCACGAATTCAGCTGTAAACCATAGATCCAGATCCTTCCAAGTCGAAGATCCAAGCCATTCACAGGAGATGGCTCGCCAAGCCATTGGCGTGGATGATGAGCTCTTCTTGGACAGCGGGGGCTCCCAGATGAAGCTCATAACTGCGGGTTCGGGGCTTCGGGCTTGGATCTCCATGGGTACTTCTATTCTAAGCTACTTATGACTGTCCGTTGTCTCCGAGGATTGCAGGTGTTGAGGGGCCCTAGGCTTGGTATCTCTAAGTAAAGATTCTGTACAACTGCACTGCCAACTGCCCTGTTGAATTTTCCTGTTTCCTGAGGCCTTGAAATCAAATAGTCCCCAGCGCCTGAAGTCTTGATGCCTAACCCAACCTGTACATGTTCTGAATCCCGCTCTAACATAGGCCCTGGGCATGGGCCCCTGGCTCGTGAATAAGCCAAGCTACTAGGGGCCCATGGTTCCAACCTTATAGAGTGAAGAAATGAAGCCTGTGCACATGGGCGCTCTCTTCAAACAGGTTCTCAGGGGGATGGGGCTTCGTAACCGTTTATGATTGGACTCATAATCCTACTTTTAATCCGGGTAACCTACATAAGTCCATTTAGAGTGAATGTATGTAGGGTTACAAGCCCAGAAATAAGAAGTTACTACGTCCCATGAACCAAACGGTAGATAGGTCTCTTAGCTATGTTACATAGACTCATAGAAGAAAAGGTAAACAGATTTCGTGCCAGATCAACCTAAGCCTCAGACCGAAGTTCTAAATCACATACACTACGCCCTACAACTTGAACCCCGAACCCTTCAAACTTCCAAGACCTTGACCGTTTCAACCCAAAAGACCTGGGCTCTTTGCCCAGGTGCCCTGATGGACTCCGGCATGGACTCCTTGACAGCTGTCTCCTTTAGGACCGCACAAATGTGTGATTAGGGGAGAGAGAGGAGGGCTTGGAGAGGTTCAGGGTTGAGGACGCTCCAGGTGAAGGGGCACAGCTTTTTTGGACTTGGGGTTTTCAAGCTCTAGAGAGTGAAAGTGAGGAAGGTATCTGAGGCGGACGGGTGTGGTTCCAGCAGCCGTCAAGATATCACAAACTAGTGATAGGTTCTTTGCACACAGCATCCGCCGCACAGTCAAAGCCCTGAGTGCTTAGATCGGCAAGCCTCGACGCCCGAAACACCAAAACCCTACACCTTAGCTTCCTAAAACAATCCCCCATCCCAACTCCTCCGTAGGTCGCAGGCAAAGCGTGCAATTAGTGGAGCATCGGTCCAAGCTGATATCAAGTGGGCGAATGTTTGTTGAAGGTCCCCTAAGCTGAATGGTGGCCTCTTTAACAGGAATGGCTTGCAGCAGCAGCTTGGTGTTAAGCTGCCTTCTTCGCTGATGTTCGACTACCCGACCATGAAGGCCGCAGCGGAAGGGGTATAGAATCCGTTTGGATGTAGGGCTTTAGGGCTTGTGGAGTTCTGATTGTGAGATGCTTCCCGCAGTTGCGACTGCTGCTTGGTGCTCCCCAGATGCAGCCATAGAGATGGAAGTGTACCTGAGATTGGTCATTCACGACAGTCGGGTAATTACATGGGTAGAAGGCAACCAGTGTGGGACTTCTGCTTCAGACCCCAAGCACTAACAAGGCTTGCACAGCCTTGTAGGGAAGCCTGGCCGTTGGAATGCTTAGTGTTGTTCAACATACATATGACCAGCACGATGCCATCTACCAGCACTCATGTTGCGCACGCTGCCATGTATGCAATGCAATGTGTGCACAGCAAGGCGCACAATGATTATGTCATTGGGCTGCTACCTACCTCGGGAGGTATCATAACTTTGGTCATAAACACACAGGGCCCACAACCTTCTCCAAAAGCTCGTGAAAACCGCCGCCTCAAAAAGTCAATCGAAGGCCCAATGCCAGAAGTGCTGAAGCTACAGACAACCAAAAACATGACCTTCGGCAAGAGTGGGAAAGCACCATGACAAGATATAATTGCTAATCTCCTTCCTTTCCTCGCCTCTGCGCAAACCATGAGATCTTAGGCCAAAAGTTTTCAGTGCCAAAACCGAGCCATACGGGTGCCCTGCGTGTTACGCTAGTAGTGGGCTCCGATATGAGAACCTCAGAAGAAACCCAAAAACTGGACTGCTGTTAACTTTGACGTAATTCACTGTAAATTTATGTGGATACATACTTGAATTTTGTGGCTTACTCATAATGGCAAACAGGTTCAAGTTTCCTAACAGCAGCCTAGAGGATGTGCAAGCTCAGCCTGTAGAGATGCACGCAGCCCGCATCTGCAGGAAGTCTCAAACCGAATCGTCGAACTGAGCAACTTGGTCAATTTGCCTTAGCCATGGTTCGGAGTCAACTCCCAACATTCTTGAGCACCTGCGCCGCCTTTATCATCAAACATTCCCTCATAAAGACCTTTGTAATACTGGAGAGTAGTCAGTGGCACGGGGAGGTGGTGGAAATAGTACGCCAAGCTGAAGGTAGTCGAAGTTATTTCGGAAATCGGGCCCTAACTAGTATGTGGCAACAAGCAGTAATCCTGGTATCCTAGCCAGGACGCCCAGGTAAGCACAGACCTGTGTTTCTCCGGGCCTCCTCGGTAGGTTACATTTATATCTGTAGTGTGCAGGGATGGCCAATCTATAAATTGTTCTAAGATCTAGCAGTCCTAGAACCTTAGCGCAGAGTCTTCACGGCCATTGGATACCCAGATCTGTAGGGAAAGGTCCGCTTCGTCACCAATCCTGAGATCATTGCGATTAACCCCAGTAGGAACCACGATTGCTAGTCGTTTGACACGGGCACTTAGTTGAAATCTGCATCACTGTGGCAAAGACAAGAGCTCCTGTTGAGGGCAACACAGAAGTAGCGGCTAGTAATTGTCGGGTTCAGGCCAGCAGCACGTTCAACAACAAGTTTTCTGTGAGTCTTAACGAAATGGTTGCAATTGCAATTTCTCTCACAGTTACTATTCTTGGTATGCGTATAGGCACCAAAGTTATGACCAGAGAGGTCAAATTTGATAAAGACTCCTGACACATCTTTGCTGGCTCAAGGTGGGGTCCTGCGCTGGGGGGGTGTAAGTTCGGAGTTCATGCCTACAAGGATTAGATGCAGGAATAAGGCTCTGGGGCTCAGTGTTACTTTCCAGTATTAGCCTAGATGCGGGAAAGCTTGACAAAATCTCTGGCTTACGCTAGGCGCTGCAGAAACATGTTGCTGTCCATCCTTGAACTCTGAGGCGCTTTAGAACTTCTAGGTGCCTTCTTGCTGAAAATGTCACGGCTTGTGAGGATTGATTTGGCTAAAAAGAAGGAATGCGAGAAGCAAGGCTACTGAATATTCTGACGCGTGTTGCACATCAGCTTCCTTGCCTTATGCCCCACCTTTGCAGCCATGGGGAACCAGATGTGCATGCTGCAACCGGAATGCAAAACGCACCTTGGCATGGACAGGGCCCAGGCTTTAGTGCAGCTACCACCACCACCACTACTTTGCAATGGCTTCTCTGAGATGCAGGTGCGGGCTGATGAACACACAGCCCGTGCACAAGGCGCTCTTCCCAATGTATGTCGTCAAGGCACCAGGGGAGAGGGTACGTATGGTTTAGGGAGCAACATTCTGCAGCCGCTACCAGAACAGCACAAGAACAAGCCCCATGCTATGGTAGGTAGTTGGAGTAGGTCAGGCTACTTGAGCCAACTGAAATTTGAGTGTCAGCTTATGGCTTCTGTGCCGCTTCATGTCGTCATAAATCGCACGGCCTGAAGGGAATCAGGAGTTTGAGTTAGCTTCCAGGGTGAGGAAAGGGGTGACAGGATGGTTCAGATTAAAGGCTTGCGTGCCAGTGGAGTTGGTAAAGGTGCGCTTACGTTCTCGTGACGGACACATGAGCCCCTTCATCGAAGTCACCTTGAAGTTCCATGCGGGCTGCTAGACACATAGGAGCATGAACACGTAAAGCTCAAACCCCCGACTTCTTAAAACAAAAGGGGATGGTCCAGCACGGACCAAAAGTGTCAACCCCCCTGTCCAAGAACGTAACAGGAGCTTTAAACCTTGCACTGAAAACCCTGAGTCTTGAGTGCTGTTCACGTCCCTGACCCATGGGTTTTGTGGCCTACACTCCCCAAACTGACATGGAACCTCCAATGGGCCCTTTGTAGATTGTAGGCCTTTGGAAGAAGATGCCTACTAGTTGGAATCCCATACTAGTTGGGGTAGCCTGAACCTGCAAGCCTAAACTGAATATTTCGTGCAATACATCCCAGATACTTGCACAAAAGCTCTTACTGTGATTCCATAGTAGTTTGGGGGAGAGTGGACCCTCTTTGGCTCTAGGTTGGCGACTTTCTCGAGATGACTGGCACGCCGGACCCTTGTTAACATGAGGGCTGGGACTTCCTGGTGGTTAGTAGGAGATGAAACAGCTTTGAGGATAAAATGTAAACCACCATATTCCTTGAGGATTACGTACATGACCCCTGCTATCAGAAACTGTTATGCTTTGGCACGGTTATATAGGGACTACCATCCGAAATTGTGTAGTTGCGGATCCTGCACGGACTGCGACTGCTCTAGGAATGTGTCAGCCTACCTTGCATTCTGAAGTTGGAATGGCAATGGTGGGCTTATGGTTGGGATTTCGGGTCTGGGGGTGGAGTGGGGAAGCATATGAGGATGGTTTTATGCTTGCATTCGGCGAGAAGCATGGCTTCGGTAAGTGTGTGTGCGAAGGATTCTTAGGAATGTGGGTGACTGTATATTAGGGGAGACCATCAACCATGGCATGTATGAAGTTTGAGTATTTGGGTATTGTGATTCCAGGGACTCCGTAGGCACTTGTTCTACTTAGCATTACAGATGCGGTCAGAGAAGCTCTGCGTATCCTTGTTACTCTGGGCAGCACATTCAGGTTGAGTTTTAAGACTTGCAGCCCCGCCATAGCTTGTTTATGCAAGGCTTGGACCATTCAAGTTGGGCTACACGCGATTTCAAAGAGGTGATGTGGTTGGGGGGGCTTGAAGAAGGCTAAAAGCACGTGCAAATGTTGGATTTCTGGACAAGAATGCAATGCACCCCAGCGGCATGAATCATGGTGCAAGGCCTCTGGCTGAAGGGCACCTGTAGAGAGGACACTTGCAATGAGAGGTCCCTGTATGATCCCACAGGCTGCTTGAAAGTAAGTTCTAATGATGAAGAGGAGCCGCATGACCGACTCAAGCAACAGGGACTCCTGCACGAGTGGCGTCTTGCTAGCAGCTTTCTAGGATGTTCAAGGGTTGTCTTAGGGCTCAGCAGGTAGAGCTCAATTACAGGATCTTCTGCACGTGCGTGGCCGGGGGATTCGAGAAACGATATTATTGCTGTGTGTGTGTGTGTTTTGCAAAGTTCCACGGGGAGCCTATCCTGAATGTTGTAGAGATGTAGAAGCACAAAAGAAAGTAAGGCTTCGAACTAGAAATTTATTCAAGATTGTTGGGGGCGGCGCTTCAGATCTCGGGCATACGGATTTTGCTTTACGGTTAGAAGGTGATAGGATTCGGGAACAAGGGGATTCTAAGATTCATGTAAAGATTGCACGGGCGTGTGATGATATTGAAATGCAATTTGGTATACAAAGGATACCGAGAGAGGCTTTCCGGATTTTGGGGCTGTGGATCACGGCATAGGTTTTGGGGATTGGAATTTGCGGGACTAGACTATGGGGTCGGAGTTGACTGGACAGGCGACAATAGCTTTCAGCTGTTTCTTGAGAGCATGGTATGTTGGCAGGGAGAGAAGGTCAATTAAGATTACTCGTATTCTGGAAGGCTTGGTTGGAGCCTTGTTAAAACTGATGGCTACGAGAACTCTTGTATTGTTGGAGTTCCTAAATCATGACTTGTAGCAATTATCTCAGAAGCTTCCCAAGATAATATTGGGCACCTTAATCAGCAATGGGTTGTTTAAGGTCAATTTGGAATTGTGATGGGACGCAGGTCATACCGTTCAGAACACCGTGTCCTGCCCACTCAGCATTCAAATAGACCTTCAGAGAACTTTGGCATAGGACCAAGGAAGGTGCCAAAAGCCCGCAATGCGCAGTAGGTTGAGGTTCAAGGCCTTGGTTTGGGCATAGCCTGCATGCTGCACCAACCCGAGACTGGCTTAATCCAATCCCGCCAAGTGGAGGAGTCTTCTGAGGGAGTACAGGGTGGGGAGGCTAAGGGTCTTCCTGATTCTCAACATGAGTTTGGCCTGCTTGTTGTTCCTTACAAGATGTTACAGCATATGCGGGGAGTAGGTGCTCAAGCTGTTGAAAACTATCCTCCGAAATTCTTCCCATGAGCCTTCGACGTTCCTAAGCGTGTTTTGAAATCGTCTTCTGCGAATATCCACTTGGTATTTGACAACC